AAGTCCCCCTTACGGAGCGCGCTAGCCGCTATGCCACATTCGTTTCCCCATTCGGAACCATATCGTCCACTTAAGCGGAGCTTTATATTGAAAAATGCGCCCTTTTGTTTTTCAGGCTTAATGAACCGCGTTCTTAATGGCCTCTCTGAGTTCGCTCCGCCATACCTTGACGATGTTGCCATATTCTCAGACAACTGCGAAGAACATGTCGAGAATTTTCGAGTTGGGCTGAACAGGTTGAAAGAAGCTGGTCTTACCGTTAAACCTACTAAATGTCACTTAGGGTGTGGTGAGGTGTCTTACCTGAGACACGTTGTGGGGAGTGGCAGGCGTAGACTTTCAGAAATTAATGTAGCCGCCGTCGTGAACTATCCACGACCAACCACAAAATGTGAGATAAGGTCATTCTTGGGCCTAGCTGGATACTATCAGCATTACGTGCAAAACTACTCTAGCATTGCCAGCCCTTCTAACTGGCGCACTTCGAAAGTCCGAGCTGGTTAAAGTAGTATGGGACTCAGAAAAGGAGAATGCGTTTTGCCAGCTGAGAAGAGCCCTAAGCAAAAAGTCTTTTCTCTTGACACCCGATTTCTCTAAGAGATTTGTGTTTTAATGCGACGCGAGGGATCGTGGTATGGGAGCTATACTGTGCCAGGAAGACAGTGCTGGTAACAAAAAGCAAGTTTTGTATTTAGGTCGAAAACTCAGCTGCAGGAAAAAGGCATACAGTACCTCTGAAAACGAATGCGCTTGCCTCGTGTGGGCCTTTCAAAAGCTAGCCTGTTGTCTCCCGTTCGAAGTTCGTGGTCGAAACGGACCACTGTCCTGTAACCTGGTTTAATAACATGTCGCCTAAAAGTGGCTGGTTAGAGACTTCAACAGCACAACTTTGACGTTCACTACAAAAATGGAAAGCTAAACACTAATCCAGATGCATTGAGCCATGCGTTTTAGTTAGTACCTTAGTACCTTCTCCTCTTTTCGGTTTCTCGCTGGAGATTCGGGGCAAAATTTTGTCCTCATCACGGCCTAAGCTGAGCGCTTTCGTCCAGAGTGATCTCGAGGGGCCAACTTTATGTTGCGTTTTATTTCATTACGTTGTGTAAAAATTTGAGTTCTCATTTTCAGGGTCTTGTGTCTCACATGTGCCTCTTGATGTAGAGGGAACGAAATTCCGATAGACACGTAGCTAGGTATATGTTGTACTGTACTTTGTCTGGTGTTCTGTCAGGTGACCGAGGGCACTTGCTTGTGTCGTGTGTTGTCTGTTGTCAAACCGTTCATGATAAGTTGCAGAGCCATCGACAAGTGCTGAAACCAAAAAATTGTCAGACGAGACGAGTGAAACTGGCCGACAAGTTGTGGCGACAAGCCAGTGTAACTGGGATCCGTCCTCAAGGATTGGATGTGCTCACGGAACTGAGCGTGGAGCTACATTCTCCCCATGGCCCTGGAGGCAAACTTGGAGGGTCCTAGCGATCGAGCAGGCCCGACATCCGAGCCACGTAGAAGTAGCTCGTCTTTCCGGCACATTGTCTGGCTGTTACGCCTGGGAGTCCACACCAAACGTCCATGCATCTGCAAAGGCAATCTGTGTGAAGGCCAGCAACTGAACCGACCTGACGCGATCAACCCAACGATGTCATCAAGCGGCAGCGCCATTCTGTGAAGCGACGCACAATGAGACCCTTCAGCCCGCGAGCCCACGAGTGCCTTCCAGTCTGGCGACTCTTGCGTAATGCGTTGCAACAGTCACTCGTGCTTGGGTGCAACCACGCGCAGCGGCTCCGGATTTGACGAGCATGATGCCGCCCAGCAGCGGGCCCCATTGGAGGATTCTGACATCACGGCCAGTGGCGCTTCTGGTTGGACGCTGGTGACTCAAAAGATCAAGCCGGTGCCTGTAAAAAAGCCCTGCGGTGCGTCGCCAACTGTTGACTTTTGGCGTCAGAGAGAAGCCGAAGTATGCGTGTGAGAGAAGACATCTCGGCTCTTCGAGTCTCTAAGCTGTCGGCCCCAGTGCCGAATATGTAACGCTTCTATTTATATGCTGTACATAAACCTTGCCTTAAATCACCGTCGTCTTGTCCGCTCGTCTATCAGCTCTGCGCAGAAAGCAGTCGCGAGCTGAGTAACACACGCTACCAAACGGCTGGTTACCTTGGCGGTGGAGTTCGGAGCAGTGGCGCCTTCGGGACCGTGTTGGCGTCACGCCTTCGTAGCACTATGCATGTTTTATTGCTGTTATGGCCACACTAACTGATTGTTCTTTTTTGTATATGAACATCTCATTTAGAAAAAAGTTTATGAACACGAAAAGGCACTTTTAGGTGACGAAAAGCTGATACAGGTGTGAACCCTGAATTAGGGACTTAGAGGCTTCTTAAATGGGTGATTAAAATGTTTACCATTCTTAGTTGGTGTTTCTATTTTAAATAAGCTGAAAATAGACTCCAGGAAAATGATGGCATTCTGCCTAAATTTCCGTTCTCAGCTGCTAAACTCTCAAACTGCAAAAGTATTTTTGCATGCCTTCGAGAGTACAAAGAAAAAAAAATTGAATACTCATTTTTTTGGCATCCTTCATAACAACTCACAAAATTTTTAGAAACTTCTACTAACCAATAGCGCTTCTCACAATATAACTGTCACATCCTGACGGATTGCCCTTCCCCACCGAACATCGTGCCCCATGTCATGAATTGTTATTTTTTCTCTGTTTCCACCCAAGAGCCAAATCTAAACAGCGGTACGCTTCCTGACTGCAACTTTCTCCCCTAATGTCACATCAGTGGGCGTCTAAGCTTTGATAGACAAAATCAAGGCATCCTGTGCTCTCGGTCTGGATAAAATCCCCGCTAATGAGTCAAAAACACTGTAGTGGTCAATAGTAAATTTTTACGAATACTGTTCTCGAAGTTAATATCAACCCGTACAATTTCGATTGACTGGAAGGTAAGTAAGGTTGCCTCAGTATTTCAAAGCGCTTTTTGAACGGATCCTTCAAATTCTCGCCCAATATTGCTCACTTGTATCGCCTGCAAACTTCTCGAACACAATATCCACTCTCATGTTGCCTTTCATCTTGAAGCGAACTCGTTTTTTTTCAGTAATCAGCATGGCTTCCTCGCAGGACGCTTATGTGAAACCCAACTATTTGAATTCATGAACGATCTTCATTTGAACCTGTATTCTTTCGTCCAACGCCATAATTTGCCTAGATTTTTCAAAAGCCTTCGACCACGTACCTCATCAACGACTAATGGTCAAAGTAAATAGCTTATGCATCCATCTACTAATTACGTCAGGGATCCTTCGTTTCCTAATTGGCAGATCGCCGTTCACAGGGAACGGCCAGTATTAATCTACTGTCACTGAGGTGTTATCAAGAGTACCGCAAGGTTCAGTCCTGCTCACCTTTATTTCATCATCTACCCGTCCCTTTGCCGAAGATTGCGTCTCGTGCCGCCGTATATAAGCTCACATATTGATCAGATGCCTTACAACTTGACCTCTCTACATTTGATAAATGGTGCACTCAGTGGCTCACGCGACCAAATTCTAAAAATTTCAATCCATGCACGCATTGCGAGAACACTAATCCTACTGCTACTCTTTGCATTCTTTTTTATTGAGCTGGTTCGACCATACAGGTACCTCGATTCACCATTTTGAAGTAAACTTACATGGTTGAAACATAATCTGGTGGCCGTCACTAACATATCCCTTGGATTCGTTAGTGTCGGCCACCAGATTAAGTTTCCACTAACAAATCTGTCTAACAAATTCCTTGGATTTGTTAGACGGCCATCGTAACCACTTGTGATCCTCAAGTTAGCATACGATACATTTATTGCAAACTGGAATTTGCATTGGCGATATCGAATCCTCATCAAGCGAACCTTGCTGACCTACTTGAAGCTGTTCAACACCGCGCAGCCCAGTTTATTACGTTCCAATACGATTATCGGCCAAATGTCAAAAATATCACATCATACTTGGACATGAAATCATTAGCACTTCGCTGAACAATATTTCGCTTATGCCTTTTTCATCAGCTGTGTCACAACTTTCCACACCTACGTGACATGGTGCTTTCCCCGCCAAACCGCACTTAACACCATTTGTAAAACTCCCTCTGTCTTCAAAGAAACACGGCTCCGCTAATTCCTTCAACAACTCATTCTCGCCATCAGCCATTGCAGAATCGAATAGTTTACGTGCCCGTGTTAAGACTGAACTTGATGCTATCAAATTGCGAAACGTACTATCAAATTTGTTGAATACTAATATGTAACTGATTGAGATTTTTTGTTTTTTTTTTCTTTTCGAGCACAAAATCTTCACGTGTATTTCGACTGTTTGGAATCGCACCTGTTTCTTTGCGATTATTATTTATATTGTAGCTGCTTAACTAATGATTTTCTGATAATTTCTTTTCCCCTATGTATGCTCCTTCCTTATGTAGTACCCCGACAAGGCCCTCTAAGGGTTAATAAACTACGATGACAATATGATCTTTATTTTGCATCCGACGAAAATCTTTCCACTGATTTTGAACAAAAATTTATATTGTTAGATTCATTGGTTTATTGATATGAAAGAACAAACACGTCTTTTAAGGGCCGAATACAGGCGATGCCGAATACAGGCTTACAGGACGCTGCAGTTAGGCTTTAGAGTAGTGCTGTACAATCCATTTTAGTCGGGTGATTCAACTGACCCCTTTGTGGAGATGCGTGAAAAGTAGCGATATCTAGCATGTTTCTTGCAACATGTGGTGCCGTGTGTTTACCTTTTTTAAGCTGTGAAACAATTTCTTTTCGTTTAGGCCATTTGTGGGGGGTTTCGAAATCTTTTAGAGCAAAGATTCAAGCGTTGCGCGTGATGGTTTAGGTGGGTCTTGTCCTTAATTTCATAGCAAAGTATCTACAGGATTTGGGTGTCAGACGTTTCATCTCAGTGATATGAAATTCTTATTTGAACAAAAAAGAACTGACCTGGAGACGACGAGCGGCGGCGTCTGTTCCTCACTGCTGTCGATGGCGGTAAGATGAGGCTGCCCCTCGGAACCCTCGAGGATGCCGTTGGAGACGAGCTCTGAAGGCTCGACTGTACGCGGCACCGACGTGGTGATGGTGAGTGTTCGCACCACAGACTTGCCCTGAGCCGCATGCAATGTCACCAGGCTCGTCAACGTCGTCGGCTCGTAACGCACCCTCGCTGGGTCAATAGACACCAGTGGATCCACGTCGTCACTTGGCTCCACAGGAGGAGCCGATGATATCGACGACGGTGTGGCGGCCGCCAGCTCTTCTTCTGCTGAAGACGGCTCTGATAAAGCATCGGGGCGAGCTGTCAGGCGCACCTTGAAGCGGTTCAGTCGAACCTGCGGTCATCACTTCTATTATTCAAGCAGAGGTCACGCTAACTGGAAAAACACATTGCTTTCAGCGTATTTCAGCATGGTTATCGCGTCAACAGAATGTCTTAGTCTGTCTTGTAATTCACTAGAAGCATGTCAGTAGTCTGTCAGGTCACTAGAAGCAAGACAGCCCGTCCGTCATTCGGTAATGGGGGTATTGTGTTGGTAGACCGGAATACCAAGGCGTGAACTGCGTACGCGTGCCCGAGAAACATGGTCGCATCGTTGAAAGCAGTTGCCGCCCACCTCAAATCTATCAAGTTATCGTGCACTCTATTACTCTTTGGCATTGAACTTATGCTTTAGTTCCTCTAGATTCACGTCCTTGAGCCTGGACAGCAAAGCATTCGTGTCTATTCATTCCCGTTTTCGAGAGCCACAATAAAAACAATCGATCATGTGGCTTAGCAAGGATGACTCCTGAATCTCGAAGGACATAGATTACGCATTTGTTAATTGCTTTTTATCATCCGTAGCGGGCGTCATCTCACTTGGCAGCAGCAATAGCTCAAGCTGTCTGGTTTTACACTTTGTCTTCTAATAACAGAATACCAGACAGACTAAAGGGAAAAAAGGCTGTTTCGCGTATAGCGAAATACCGATTGCGAACTGGGAACGCTTCTTGCACTTTGCCGGAAACGCCTGATACTAGACCTAAAAACAGAATTTCTTCTGAAGCTTCAGATAGAGACGAGGCCGAGGCAGCAAACCTCAGACATGTGGCGCGCAAACTCGCAACTGGTTTGTTCACATCTTGCGAGAGACAGAAATGAGATGCGGAAAGGGGAGAGGTTGACCGGAAAGCAAGTGTGTTCTTTGCTACCCTGCACTGGAGAGGGATTGAGCGTATACAGAAAAATAAGGAAGAAGACATGAGGGAAGGAAGCGGTAATACAGACAAACTGGAATGTCCCAGTCGTTCAACGAGGCTGGTTACTCGCAAAAACTTCCAAACCGACATCGTCACTTTTTTTGTGGAAAGCGCGATCCTTCCCACATTCTAAAATTGATTTCTCAGGAAGCGGCTGGTCATCAAGGCATGCAAACACCGCTAACAAAGACTGCTTCTGACAGCTGTACAGAGGGCCGTGACATGATATAGGTTCAATGGCTCTGGTATTGCCGCAATGGTGACATGCAGCACTGTCAGCCCAGGTGATTCGGCAAGCAAAAACGTTCGTACAAGACACTTGAAGTCACATGCGGCAGAGAGCGGTCGTCTCAGATTGATTCGTTTGTCGTGGAAAGTGATAATAATAAGCCAGATGGATTCGTATGTCGTGGGCAGTGAAGACGTCTGCGGAAAAATGCGGGGGTGTTCAACCTAAACTTCGCTATATATGCGTGAGCATGATAATCTTTGCTGCTGCGTTGCTTTTTGAAAGTGGAAGATGATCCATCATGCCATATTCAAGAGAATTCTTCGCTGCATCATCAACATGCTCGTTACCGACGATGCCGTAGATGGTATGGTAAGGATTAGAACGTTGCATCATGCACTTTTACTATTAGTTCATGATACAGTTTTGTTTCCAGCATCAATTGGCCTTGAAGTCCACGTCGTAGAACACTTCTAGGACATTGAAGAGCTTGTTTCGAGTCAGTAAAAATGCTTCATTGTACTAGGGGCTTCTAGATCAATCCTTCGGAGTGTGCATCAGTCTGCCACAGGCTGCGCGGCTGTCTATGTTGTTTTCTTAGGCAATCGAAACTGGGTAGTTTCAGCTTTAGCTGCAGTGATCTTCTGCAGATCCTCCAATATTTGTTGAGCTATCCGTGTGAAGTTTAGTGTGCTGCTTGTATTTTTCACGCGTCCTGCTGCTTCAAAGCTGGTGTTGAGGGATCCGCAATATTGCGGATTCCTGGCACTCTCAAGCATTGTTTTTATAGATGCCAAACGCTAAGGAGGTGCCAAGGTACGTTCCGAAGGCGTGTGAACAGCATAGGTCGGCGAAAATTGTGAAGCTGACTCAGACTCACCTACTAAATATTGGTTAAGACTCACCTAATAAACTATTCGTTATACCAAGCAGAGGAAGGCATCTGAGCCGAGATCAGTTACATATACATGTCGACATTGTGGAAATCATCCCCTTCTGCAGAAAGTGAGTGGGAAAGTTTCAGGAAGATGCGTTGCACCATGGCCTTCAAGAATCAATAGACGGAGACGCTAAGAGCTTCGCCTTAAGTTTATTTCAACAAGGCTTAACTTTTTGTTGGAAGGAGTTGTTATGCGATTGATAATATGTAGATGTGTAGCTTCTGGTTTTAATGCACAATCAGTCTGCAATACCAGCCTATTTACCGCTTTCAGGGATTCGTTTCAAAGCCTCACCAGCCATTAAAATTACCAGTCTACTTTATGTCCATGGCACGGCAAAGACTTATCGCAATGACCTTCAGCTTTTCCTCACTAGGGCGAGCTGATTCCACACATTCTGGCCATACCTTCATTTCATTGCTACATTAACCTGGCTGCTTGTTTGTTTGCTTGTTTGTTTGTTTGTAGTCTCTAATCCATTTATAATACCTACTCTGGAGGATTGGCCAGGAGAACATACAGTCTAATATGGACGATAACTACACTATTGCTTACAACAAAAAAAGGGAAATAACTGTTGTAGAATGAAGGATAGCATATTAAAAAAAGGAAACAAAAAATCAGAGAGTGAGAAAAAAATCAAAAAGAAAATCGACACTAACTGGCTGCCTTCCTCGGATTTTTTTCTTCTTTTCATATGGCACTTCTTTCGCCTAAATGACTACCGGGCACATATCCTACGCGTTTCATGGCCAGTTTAGGTTCTTTTTTTTGCTTGATATCATCTAGAGAATTATGAACCATGGCTCTCTGTGAAGTGTGATTACCAGAGAAACTTTTTTTGAACAAGACACGAAAGTGGTGCAGCATTGACCGTACCCGAATACACGAATAAACTCGTAATGCCTGTTCACCAATTTCTCTTTGAATTGCGCTCCTCTGTCTTGAGCTTAGTGGTCAGATTCATTTATTTGCTAACGTGGTTGCTTGGGCGAGTTGGTACGACATGATTCTCATAAAAAAAGCGCCAATAATGAGGGACAGGAAAAGAAAGAGACGGACAGTGGCACTGACTTACAACAAGATTTATTTGCTAGAACCGCACAATATTTACTTGAGCAGTATCTGACAAAAAAGAGAAAAAATACCAAACAAAGAAAAAAGAATTCACCTAACAACCGAGTAATCATCGTGATAACGCACCATGAACAACTCGTGTGCCAACGTTCTGAAGAAAATCTATTTCTTTTTGTGATAGAGGAATGGAAGGCCTGCCGACCCATGCACTGCCCAGCCTTTCTATTTGTTCAGCCTCATAAATTTTAAGTATCATCTTGTCCCGATGACGCCTAATGATGGTACAATGCTTAAATTTGGGGACACAATCGCAGTCTCGCCAATGAACGCCGAGGTGGCCCGAAACTGTAGAGGAGACGTTCAGAGCGTGCTCTTTGAGCCGCTCATATAAACACCTGCCTGTTTGGCCGATGTACCCCTTGCCGCAAAACAGGGTTAGAGACTACACCATCCCTTTGATGCATGGAACGTACCTCGTTCTGATGCTTGATTTTGCAGCCATCGCTCTCCCCTGGAATCAGAATTCACGGCCTTGCACAACCTAGCCAGCTTTTTTAGGCCAGAAAAAACCAGGTCTACGTCGCACCTGCTGGCCACATTTCTGAGGTTGTGGGTGACGCCGTGGATATAGGGAATAACGGCGAAGTGTCGTTTCTCCCGTCCCTTATCCTTTGTAGGGGTTCGAGCATTATTCTCTAGGCTCATTCTAGTTTGTCGGAGTAGACACTGAGCAACGGCGGTCGAAATGTACATCGGGAAACCAGTCTCAGTAAGGAGTTAGGTTTGCTGATTCAATTTGAAAGAAATTTCTGCAGCGCGAGGCGAAAAAACGGACACAGAAAGGAATAGACTGAGAGGACAGAGTACTGGACACAGAAAGGAATAGACTGAGAGGACAGAGCGCTGGTCCTCTCAGCGCTCTGTCCTCTCAGTATATGCCTTTCTGTGTCCGTTTTTTCACCTCGCGCTACGTAAATTTCTCTCAAATGCAACACCAACAAGCCCACATCGCCCCTTTTGCTGATTAAAGCTGGACCGAATCATGTGATGGTAGGATCTTCACAGAGTGTTTGTTTAGCAAGTCTTAGCGATAGCGCGCTTCACCACTTTTGAATGTGCTGAACCAGAAGGGAGGATTGGCTTGTTAGCGCGTGGTTCATAGGCCCAACACACGTGGAAAGGACTCAACGTTAACATCAAATCAACCTGATGGTTCCTCTGTCCGGAACTTCATGTGTTATAACAAGCGAAGAAAGGCACTTACTGAAAATTTCTAAAGTACTAGTCAAAGACGAACCATCTGACGAGGTTCCAGCTTGAAACAACACGAGGAAGTTGTCAACATAGCGGCATACTTTCTTAGCAGTTGTGGATTCCAAGCAATTCTGAATGGCGCGATCATGGCTGGCTAAAAATAAATCACTCAAAGTGGGCGCAAGGCACACCCCTTGGCGTTTTAAGTAAATACGATCATCCCGCTCTGCAAATGTCGACCTTAGGTAATACTTTAGCAGTTCCATAAAACCTTCAGGAGATATGCCTACTGCATTCTCATAATTCACTACGCCAAAACTGTCAATGGAACCACGAATGCAAGCTAGAAGCTCAATCTGTAACAATGAGTAGTATGGATCTTTATTATTTATTGAGAATGCTTGGTAGCCAGAAAATTGGTTATCTTTCAGCACTAAAATCACATCATCGGAACTTTTAGCCAGAAACGGATTGTCTATGCTTAATAACAGCAGTTTACCCTGAATAAATTGTGCCAGGATTTTTCGCCACGGATTCGCCTCTGAAACTATAACACGGTAAGGACTATTAACCTAGTGCGTTTTCGTGTTAA